CATGACTTTGTTTGCCACTGCTGTTTTGACTGTCATGTACAGTACTTGTGCTTTTCCCCAGCCAGTGTGTCAGATCTCCTTCCCGAATCTCACCCCATCCTCAGGCCACGGTCACACCAAGGGGAAGAGGCAATGATCGGTCCGGATCAATAATACATTGACTGCATTAATGCTTATGAATAAGTCATAGAAGCAGAGAACCCAGGTGACAGGAATGACACACCCATATGCACGGACACACACCCGCACAGTCAAATGATCTTTTATTACAGGGCTGGCAAGATAAATGAACGAGAAGAGAAGGAGAGCAACGCAGGGGCTTTAACTTTGCACTTAAGGATGTATCAAGCACTTGCTGACATTTTGCTGCATGTCAAGGCTCCTCTCTGTCCTTTTTCTGTCACTGGCCTTTTTCTCTCAAGGCCCCTTTTCCCTGTGGGTGGAATGAATAAGTTATTGCATCTGTGTCCTCAGTCTTACTAAAGACGGGCTTTATATAACAACTCAATTTGGTTGAGGCCATGCTTTTATGTCATCATATGTCATATTATACATGTGAACATACAAATACATCATATGTATTTGTATGTTCACATGTATAATATGCCACGACATTTTTCCCCAGATGACATCTCAGACAGGAGGAGACTTTTTGTGTGCCGCTAACAACAAAGCCTGAGCAGCCTGAGAGCCGTTTTGAATGCTCAGTAAAATTAGTGTGGTCGATGAAAGTACACGTGGTCCTGTTGCCAAGAATTTTGAATGGGAACATCACTATTGAATAATTAATCCACTGAATGTACACCAAAGTGAGATGGGAGAAACTATAGCAACTGCTGCATGTGGGTGTATTCACGTCATCTGATCTGTTGGCTGCCTTGCTTGTAGCATTGCCAAGATACACGTGTTTGTGGGGCTGCTGCGTGCTGCAGTGTTCTTAAAATAAAAAAAAAGTGTTATACAATCATTAAAGTTTGTTCTGGCTTGTGAGAAGCCCTGTGGTGAGTTTTGAGTGGTGTCTCCCCAGGAGAAGTGTTTGACGGGAGAGAAATCAGCTCTTTGTTTCTGCAATGCGATGCGGTGGACGTAGAACAGTGTTGTTGCTGCTTCATAATGACAGTGGCTGTGAATGATGGAAATATGTCCTTGGAGGGGAGACGGGAGGTGAGGTCAGGCAACGCAATCATGTGGCCGCACAACAAAAAAACTGCAGGTTTGTGTAGATTCCATCAATTTGTTGCTTGAAAAGAAACCATTCTTCAAAAACGTATTCATTTCTCGCACAATGGCTTACAAAATTAAAGACCTGCTCTTGCACAGTTTTTTTGGCAGTCATAGCATTAATCTCTGCCACTTCTGCTCGTCATAAATGTCTGCCTCCACATGCTTAGAGTAAAAGGCTAGGCAATTAAAAAAAAAAAAAATCACAAGAGCTGGGTCTCATCCTAAGTGCATCCAATTATCAAGTATGAGACATTTCACAGTTTATAGTCACGAGATTCAACATATCTCAGACTCTTTAGTACAGCAATTCCACAGTCGTCAGCCAAATTGTGTATGAAGAGGGCACACATATTGAGATAGGATATGGATAAAGTCTTGGGTTTGCACAACTTCATAATTGTAGCCATTTAGTCAAGGCTACCCAAAAAAAAAAAAAAAACGTAAACCTCCTCCTCTGTCATCGGGGGTCTTGTTCTGGATGTGTTTCCGTGCATATGAATGGGGTATATGATGTAGCTTTGGGCACATTTAAGGAAGAGCTCATTTCGTCACATTTGCCATTTGATCATCACATTCATCCATTTTTCATCAGGTCAGATATGACTGAATATGAGAACGCAAGGAGAAATGTGAATTGCGCTCAAAGCAAGGTGTGGGTTTAAGTTTTTCAAATATGCTGGTAATAACGTTGCTTTAATCCAATACAGTATTCCACTCACTTTGCATCACGGCTGAGCAATTCATCGAAATTCAATCGTGATTTCGATTGTGGCTGCTCTCAATTTTAACAACACAATAATTGAAGAAAAATTATGAATGTGCAAAACGGTGCGGTGTGTCCGCGTTCCTGATTTTGTTAAAGTACCCTGAATAGTAGTACCATGTTACTTAATCAAACATGCAGTTTATCAGAATCACAGTCTGATTTATTGGCCAAGTATGCAAGAAACACACAAGGAATTTACTTCCCAGTTACAACCCGTTCAGAGGAACATACAACAGAACAGCAATAACCAACATGGGGGAGACAAAACTAGAAGCCTGGTGGGTCGCTGTTATGTGATTCTTTCCTCCCTTACCGTGCTTTAAACTGTTATGTGACACCCTGGCTGGAGTTTACTGGAAAACCAAACATACAACAAAAATAATTACACACATTATATTATTATTATTATTATTATATACATTTCAATATAAGACATGCGTCATTTAAAAAGCATTGTCAGTGCTAACGGGAAATCAATCTAAAAGCCCATTGATTTGCTAATTATTTTAAAAAACATAAATATTCTTCCCAATCTGTGAAAAAACAGTTACATTAACAGAGCTCAATCGTAACTTTCTTCTTCTACTCTTCATACTCTCGTTGTGTGGACCCCATGCATGCACAGTGTCACACTGCCCCCAAGAGGTCAACTTGCACACCACAGGAACAACCAACATGATTTTTTTTTTTTTAAATTGCTATTATTTTAGGTACATTCTTAGTTAAATTAGTTAGTAATTTATTTTCTGGTTGTACTTTCAAATAGAGTTTTTAAGGATTCACGGCATTGACCCGAGGTCCCAGGTTAACCCAGTAAGTCCCAAGGTGTGTGAAAATAAAAATGGTAAAAAATAAGATAAAATAAATAAAATCAAGACATAAAGATGCTTATTTGAATTTGTGCAAAGATGCAAAGCTGCTAAGGTATGGATGCAGCAGAATGAAAATGCAAGGCCAATTTGTGACTGACAAAAAGAAATGTTTCAAAACAAAGTGCTCAACGTGTGCAGGGATGAATGGGCATGAAATCAAGCAATAAAATGTATAGTCGTATCATAACATACATGAAAAGGGATTGCAAAATCATCATGTATTGGTTTTTCCAAAATCGCGAAGCCCGTGAAATTGTCGTACATTAGCAACATTAACATACAATATTCACACAATCTACCATCTATTACACATGCTTGTGTGTGTGTGTGTGTGTGTGTGTGTGTGTGTGTGTGTGTGTGTGTGTGTGTGTGTGTGCGTGCAGTACACACTTGCAAAAGAAATTTAGCAATGTTTTCATGCCGCCTTGGTTCTAGAAAGGTGAATGTCTCCCTTGCTGAAACAGCCAGGCTTAAAACCTTTTTTGCAAAAATGTATTGAGGATTGAAAACTTTAGCCTATGAGAGTAAAGACTGAATAGATCGCGGTTTATCTCAACAGCTATGCTCCTGCCGCCCTTCCACGTTCTCTCACACTGCCTCCGCTCTCCCCTCTGTGGGCTTGTGCTACTGCGTGAGTCCGGTGCTCAGTGAAGCTGCTGGCCGTTGGCAAAATAAGCTTTCGGAGGCCAGTAACACACTCTCGAGTTGTCAGTAGTAAATATTGTGAAGTAAATAAATTGCAAGTGCTCGCTATCAAATGCTAAGCAGAATATCTTGATTCAATAATAAAACAAAATCAGCAGCCCAGTGTCTAAACCAGTGGTTCTTATCTTGGGTTCAATTGAACCCTGGGGGTTCGGTGTATCGGTCTCAGGGGTTCGACGGAGCCTCTGTCATGGAGGTCAAGACACACCCGACTCAAGATGTCAATTAGTTATGACACGCCCGCTTGGCCATCGCTGGCTGCAGATGATCACATTATATTGCTTGTCCAATCCGTGCTGCGGGAAATTTAGTTCCCTCAGTCGTCACCGTGTGACTGTCGTGATAGTACGTCATACAATTAAAAAAAACATATACTTATTTTATGTACTTTTTTCTGTTTGTAATAAATGTGTTTTTTAATGTGTTGAATTTGTAAAAAAAAAAAAAATAATAATAATAAATCATATCTTTATTTTTCACTAAAAAAGGGTTCGGCAAATGTGCATATGAACTGGTTGGGTTCTTAACCTCTACTGGTCTAAGCTATACCTTTTAGATTTAAAACTTCATCACATTCGTCTTTGAACAACTGACAAAGTGGTCGTGTAACTCAGTATACAAGCAAGAAATCTCTCATTTAAAGAACACCCATTCTTTACAATGCATGCACTTGTGCATCGATCTGATACCGACTTAAATTCTGTCACAGCTTTGTTGATAGAACGCAAGTGCTGGTGGCGGCCCACTGAAATACCTTCCTTGTATACCAAAAGTGCCTCACGCGAAAGACATTAACAGCTTCCAAAAAATCATGTCAGCTGCACATTTTACACATTTATCCTCTCTAACTCTTTTGGATACAAGTGCGTGAATGACCCTAATTTCGAATTCAACCCATTGCACTCGCACCACTCAAACCACAATTTTTCAGAAAACCATCCCTCCATATTAACGTTGCATCGTCAAAGTTGTTTTCAAAACTTGGACTTATCAATTAGTAAAATGAACAGCTCCTGTAGTGACTGACCAGTAATATCTATTGGCGAAAAAAATTGATGACCAAATTTAGACAGAGAACGTTTCCACCCCACAGTGATGAGTACGCTCCAACAATGTTTCCGCAGTGTGCAATTAGAGCACTTTATGATGAGTGTGGACCATCCCCGGTGAGATTGAATCTATCAGCCAGCCCCTGATTGCTGCAGGTCTCAGCAATTTCGCTTTCGCTTTGTCTCCATCACCGCATAGCTACTGAAAGAAACACGACCCAATGGACGATTTTCTGCTTGAAGTGTTGATTGATTGAAGCTGATAACATCTCGCAAAGGTTTATTATAGTTCATATGCGTGTGCGGTGGGGGGGTTGGGGTATGTTTTGTCATTGGAAAAAAAAGAAAAAGTGTTGTGATTTATTCGTTTTGTGCTGCTTTCAGGCTACCAGTGCCAAGGGCAGACCCGGTGGACCTGCAGGAATTTGATGACAGTGGTTCCGGACGTTCCATGGACCACGCCCCATAATTGTTGTCTTTCTGTTTTGTAATTTGGGCTTCAACCCACTTTTGGTATCCTTGTGATCTTAAGTCTCCCTTGTCCTCAAATGGCAGTGAAGTGGCCTTGAAATCACTTGTGATGGCTCAAGGCGGTTGGAAAATCATCCCCCCCCTCAAAAATTTGAATTTTTCTCAAACATTAACTGAATGGAAACACTGCAGTTCACTGTAATCGATTACACTCTGGCCCGATTTCTACTGCCAGTTGGATTGGAGGCTCACTCGTGTGCTTGCGGACTTGAGAGATGGAGATTGGCTATGAGCAAGCTCGGCAGATGTCAGAAATTGGATATTTCTTCAATACTGGGATTTTTACTTTCAGTTTTTTCCAGTTTTCGAGACAGTAGTGTTGAAAGCTATTTTGTATTTGGTGGCGATAAAAAAAAAAAAAGGACATCTACAGTCGCTTCTTTTTATACTCTGTCTTTTCCACTTCCCGTCATCCTGGTGCTTGAACGTTTTATTCCCTCATACGCCTTTACCGAACCGGTCACTGACTATCCTCAATTTATGTGCAACCACTTGTTGGATCACCAACTGGGGCATTTGACACCTCTCGATTTATGGATGTACTGTATATGACTTAATGTTGGGTGAAAATCAAACTGTAATTTAAATTTTTCAAAAAGAACTCTTACCCAATGTCAGCTCACTGTCTGTGTTGCTCATACAATGAAACATACACAGTATGTGGCAAATTTACGCACTTTCCACCTTGACCTGCTCAAGAATGATTTTCATTCACAATGCACCGCAGTAGATTTTTTTTTTCTCTTGTCATACGTGTTATGTGAAAAATGACGATGGGTGGGTCAGATATGACAACACTCCCTGAGCGCTGCAGTCAAGCTGCAACAGTAACAAAAAATATGTTGTTTATATTTTCAAATTTTGTCTTGAATCTATAAATAAACACGTTTAGATTTGATTTGAAGGATGGCATCTGTATTTTCTCTTTAAGAATAATGTCTTTGTTGCAGCGCCCTGAAAAGGAAACCAAGAATCTGTTATCTGAATACTTTGCAAGCAGGTGTGGATGGTTGGCGACAAGAAGGCAGATGCGGTGCTGCATCGAGTTGTAGTTTGGTTTCATCAAAGGTCAAAACAGCAAGGACTCCAAAAAGAGTGGGAATAGGAGGTACTGGAGCATTATTTTTATTTATTGGCTTAGCACTGTTGCTATACTAGCATAGCATCCGAGTGTTGAGCCCAGCTCAACACAACAGCTGTTGTCATTGCATCTCACTCTCCAGGCATGACTAAGAAATTGACACGCAATCCAGTGAGTATTAGTAAATGTTTGGTTATTCTTGCTTTAATTGGCCATGCCCATAGAGTGACGGTAGGATAACGCCGCAATTGCAAGAGCTTTCAATGCACGATAGAAACAAGTCGCTCACGCGCGGTCGGTGTCCCGAGTGATTGACAATTAGGGCATTTGATCGATGGTTGATGGTGACAATGCACGCTACCGCAAATGCAATCAATCATTTAAATCTAAGATGCAATGCTTGTGCATAAGCAGCCTCAGTAAACATTTTGCAAATGTGCATCTCAGAAGTGCTTTTTTGATCCCACATAGATAGACCGAAACCCCCCACAAAAAAAAGATTTTTAGGGGAGATTTTTGGGTTGGGTCGTCAGCCACCCCACAAGCAAAATTGCGACAGAATTTGCACAGCCGACCCACGTAAACATGAGCAGTTTAGCTGCTAACAACGAGCTGCCAGCCACCAATGAAAGCGGCAATCAATCATCTTTATCTTTTGCACATTTGCAGTCATGCGAGTGGGGTATGTAGGATCATAGAGGATCATAAAATGTTATTTCATAATTATCTCTGTACCAATGCTTTAAAACTGGCAATTGAAAAACAACGGCAAGTCCAATTTTTAAATCTGTGTTTTTTTCATTTTTTATTTTGCTCAGTTTCAGAAAACAGGTGAGCCGTGATTGGGTGTTACCTGAGCTCTGAGCAACTGTGATATCATTTTCAGTCGACAGCAAATGGCAAAATGGCCTCCCCCTGAGATGGATAAAAACATGTGGATGTTGCTACTTAATTCATATTCCACAAACACAAATTTAATCAGAATATAGTTTTTAGACTCGTGGGGCTGCATAGAACAAATTGTAAAGAAATTGCGAGGGTTGACTTCCCCTTTCAAGAAGAAAGGAGGGGCAGTGTTAATTGTATTTGTTAGTGTTTTTCTAAACAAAAACATGTACGGATAAGATTAGCATGAACCTTAAATGATGTTGTCAGGAGTAATAGTATTTTTAAAATTCAAAAAACTCATTTTAATGTGTGTAAATCTTTGCTTGGGAAGTAAGTCGTGTATGTCTCTGAGTGAGCTGACATCTCATTTGCTCTCAACTCACACAATGCAAGATGATAGATTGAATTCCAACTTTTGTTTGACATTTCAAAAAGAATGTTGCCTATATCTGACTTTGGAGTACACTTTTCCTTTTGTAGGCCAACTAAACCATAAAATAAGAATGACAGAATTCCTCGTAGCATAACTGTTTTCTATTCTTCTGGCAATTTAACCTGAATTTGTACGTCAGAACCTGCTATATAGCAATCACTTAATTATGCTAATCCAATCGAGAAGTCATAATTAAAATCAATATTTGTCTGAAAAACATCAACATGAAACTAATCAAATGAAGCGCAGTAAGTTCGGCAGTAAGTGAGCACGCCTTTTTGTGCCGCGGGGCGACTTTCCGACACCGTTAACCTTGAAATGTCATACAACAGGCCCGTTCTCAAGCGAGGACCCTCTTTAACTGATTAAGTCGGTGTTAATATTCTCCAGAGTCTATGATTTTTCAGCACGGCTGTGGATGAAATGATTTGGGTTGCGTGTGAGAGAGAGCCTCATCGAGTGACACCTCATTCATACTTTTGCCTCTGTCGCTGAGTCCAAAGAAACAATGACAAACCTGTGTGGGGAGGGGGCGCACAACAATCTGTCCGTGGTCTAGGTCGGAAATGGAGGGAGGATATCTGATCTCGTTTAACCTGGGAGACCACAGGGTTCCTTTTTCTTTTTCCCCACCCCCAATTACACCTGCTCTTCCAAGTTCAATTCACACAGGACCTGACGGACACACACACACACACACACACACACACACACACACACACACACACACACACACACACACGCACAGTAAAAACAACCCTAGGTCTTCTGCCTCCTGCTCCTTTTCTTTTTTTTTCTTTCATAGATTAACACCTTAATTGCGTCATGGATTGTGTTATTCAATTAGCTACGTGACAGGCTTACGAGTAGGGGTGCTGCTTTGATTGTTCTGTTTCAAAATACATTTGAACACTACGAGTTTGCAATGATGGAACGCCTCCCCACCAGCCCACTGTGACATGCAGTAGTGATGCTCTTCCTTTCTAGCATGTAAAATCTGGCAGAAATGGGAGATTTTTCTCGACCAACACATGGCCCCACGATTCAAATGTGTGTGCGTGCTTCTTCGGTGTTTGTGTGAAATTGCATTAGCCTGTGAAAAATGATACACATTTGCAGAGACCCACACCTCCGCCCTTGCTCAGATTGCATGTTCTTGTTTCATTCAAGAGATTGAATTGCTTGTCTCACACTAAATGCACTTTCTTATTCATCTCCTCCTTCGCACACACAAATACAACACACACAGACACACACAGACACACACACCCACACACACCTGGCCTCTAACATGTAAGCATACGCGAACAAAGCAAACTACCCATCGCTCAAGGGAGAGTACTATTGATTTTCACATTCCCCACAGTTATTTTAGATTTAACTACTGACTACAACCAAACATGGTACTTACAGGACTCGATATTTTACTCAATACCGAATGATAAGCCACCCTTAAGGTAAATGCAACACATTCAGGTTCCTGAACAGCATGAATGCCATTCCTTTCAAATCAGGCTTTGGTCACTTTTGTATGTTTTCCTAGTTCAGATCTATATCACTGGAATCAAACTGAAACCTCCTATGTCACAATTAGCTATGTGCTGAAAATGGTTCGCTGTCTTTAATGATGCAACGTTAATGGTTGAACAAACATCTCGTTTTTGGCCTGATGCCAGCGATATCTATTGTGTGAAGAAAGGCTGCAAGCTAAACAGTCATGTCACACTAATTCTGACCTTTACACCACTAAGGTGCGTTATTTGTCACAATTCTGTATCGGATGTGACAAGAGACCAACTCCTACCAGCTTGCTCAGAGATATTGGGTGTTGAGATGTTGGTGCGCATGTTCCTCGAGTGTCTTAAAAAAAGGCAATGTTGAATATAATCAAAATCAAAAGTTTTGTATGAAATCTGTGACTGAAAAAGAAAACTCTTCATCCGTATTGTTCTTGCTATACTTGCTCATAAGTTGGTCAACTTTGATTTGCACAGCAAAAGAATGACCAGTTCGCTTGTTCTAAATGTATGCATGTACAGCATGTACCTAAATCAGCAGCGCTGTTCGTTTTTTTTTTTTTTTTTTTTTCTGCCACCGGAGCCTCTGGTTCCATCTTGGGGTCATCTTTTTTATCCCTTCCGAAACACCAAATACATGTCTTTGAAATCCGGGTGCTTGGGCTCCTTGTGCCAAAGCATTTTTGATGGCTGCATTGCCCATTTTGCGAGGCATACTAAGCAGTGTGAGTTTGGTGCGTGTAAGTCAACAAGCAATAAACCCATACCTTAAGTATGACTGCCGATTTTAGGATCTCTTTCTCATCATTTGGCCCATTCCCCTTTTTGAAGAAGCCCCCCCCCCAAACAAGTTTTTATTTATTTTAATTTTTTTAACGAATTAACTTTGGAGCGGCCCGGTGATCCAGTGGTTAGCGCGTCGACCTCACAATGCAGAGGTACTGGGTTCAATTCCAGCTCCGGCCTCCATGTGTGGAGTTTGCATGTTCTCCCCGAGTCTGTGTGGGTTTTCTCCGGGTACTCCGGTTTACTCCCACATTCCAAAAACATGTATGGCAGGCTGATTGAACACTCTAAATTGTCCCTAGGTGTGGGTGTGAGCGTGGATGGTTGTTCGTTTCTGTGTGCCCTGCGATTGGCTGGCAACCGGTTCAGGGTGGCCCCTGCCTACTACCCGAAGACGGCTGGGACAGGCTCCAGCACCCCCGTGACCCTTGTGAGGATAAGCGGGTCGAAAAATGAATGAATGAATACTTAACTTTGCCAGCCCCACCATTAGCCTTCACCGTACCGTGGTAGAGAGGGTTTGGGTGTCATAATGATCCCAGTAGCTAAGTTGCCTGGGGCTTTATGCCCCTGGCAGAGTCACCCATGGAAAACAGGTCCTACGTGACAGACCAGACAAAGCACGGCTCACGGACGCTGGCCGTGATGATGAGCAACAGAAGTAGACGCCGTTTTCTCCTACCCCGACGCGGGTCACTGGGCCCCCTCTATGAAGCTCGGCCTGGAGGTGGGGCTTGGTGGGAAGTGCCTGGTGAGCGAAAAGGCAACGTGGATCCCCCCCTTCCCATGGGCTCACCACCTGTGGCAGGGGCCAATGGTTTTTGGCGGTCTGATCCCCTGCTATAGAAACTAGCTCTTGGGACATGGCATGTCAACTCTCTGGCAGAAAAGGAGCTCGAGCTGGTGGGTGAGGCAAATAAGTTCCAATTAGACATAGTCCGGCTTGACTTCATGCACAGCTTGAGCTTGGTTAACAGTTTATGTACTGTAAGATGGCCGCGTCCTTGTTGGCAAAGGATGATGTCAGACGATGGTGCCGTGCCATTTTTTTGTGTTTTTTACTCTGGGATCCCAGGCTGTTCATAACCATTTCCCTTATAAGTTATGGAAGTGTTGTGTGGCGCTAAAAGGCTTTTTTCCCTCGCTGTCTATATTTGGTGAGGAGAATGCTGTTGAGAAACTGTCAGTCATACATTCGT